TACTAGCACAAAGCACGTGTGCTTACCTAGGAGAGAGCGCCGTATGGTCACGTGGGTCGATTACTAGACCAAAGTACAAGCGCTTACCTAGGAGAGAGCACCGTGCATGCCTATAAATAGCCTACGCAAATAAGTTAGCTCTCTTTCCTTTATGTGGCTCTTGGGTCGGAGTTGACGTTAGTAAAATTGAGTATTGTATTGTTGCATTTTCATTAATTTGGTTTATTCGAATAATTATTTAGTTAGGTTTTAATAAAGGAGGATTAATAATATATCTGTCGTTGTGTTTAGTTAATATCGAACCCGTTACATTGGTACCAGAAGTGGGGTAGTTATTTAATTGGTGATTAATTAAATAACTAATAGGACGTTTTGACATTTATATAAAAAGATTAATTAAATACTTAGTTATAAGTTGTTACATTTGTTGTACGTTTGTTGTAAGTTGAGAATTCAGAATTATAATGGATCGATTGACGAAGATGAAACAACAAAAATTACAACGTCTGTCGAACAAACAAATAACAAGGAAGCTACTGAAGAGATCAATCGACGAAGCCAGTGTACGATTGATGAGCCGATCACAGCTGTTAGAAACGTGGGCAACAATTTTGGCGGACAGCGCTGATTCTCCATGCAGTGTTGCGGCGGAGGGCGCTGTGTCGAAAGATGCTGAAGGTGGATTGACCTTATACGAAAGGAAACAGTTAGAAATGGAGTATAGGCTTCGAGAAGCGGAGATTGGTAGACAAAGAGAAAAAGATGAGAGGGAATATAAGTTCAAAGAAGCAGAGATGGCCAGACAGCGTGAAAGAGATGAAGCAGAGATGGCCAGACAGCGTGAAAGAGATGAAGCAGAGATGGCCAGACAGCGTGAAAAAGATGAAGCCGAATTCAGGCTTAAGAGTCAAGAATTAGAAATTCGACGACTAGAGGTAGAAGGTATGAATAATCGAAAAGTGGCCAATGATGCTAGTGAGGATAATAACACGATAAAACTAATGCAACAGACTCGATTTTTCGCGGAGTCGTTAAAACATCTGATAGGAACGTGTCCGTTAGAGCCAAGAGATATTCCTGCATTCTTTGAACACGTAGAGAAAATTTTTCGAAACTATCACGTAGACGGAGAAATTAAAGCCAATTTGTTGATAATGAGTTTGAACGAAAAGGCCAAAACGTGGTTACATACTATTTCCGCCGACGGTCTGAAGGATTATAGCGAAATTAAAAGACTCATTCTGCAGGAGTTCAGGTTAAACCCGACAAAATTGAGAGATGAATTCTTTGTCCTGAGAAGACAGAAAAGCGAATCGTACACGAGTTTCGGGGCGAAATTATACGGCACGCTGAACCACTATTTTCAAAACCGTAACATTACGGGATTAGAAGATGCAATGAAATTGATATGTGCAGATAGAATGAAAGAGTTGCTATCAAGACATACTCTGGAATTTATTTTGTCACAAGAGCAAGCAGCTTCCTGGATGAGTCCTGACGTGTTGGCACAAACGATCGACAAATATGAAACTGAACATGAAAGTTTCGAGCGACAATACATGTATGCCGGAGAGTATCAATCAGATACAATCATTTCGAGAAAATGAGCACCAGATGTATAGAAGTAGCAACAACAAATCAGCTTCACCCAAACAAACCTGCTTTTCTTGCGGGAAGATTGGTCATATTGCAAAGCACTGTACATGGAAAAATAGAATTACACCTACGGCCACTAGAAACGTCATGCGCTGTGAGACGGACAAAAAAACGCAGAGACCAGTTGAAATCGAATCACCAATAAGAACAAAGGAAGTTGTCATTGAAGCAAACAAATTTTATGATCGCAAGTACATCGAAGTAAATATTAACGACGAGATTGATCAAAAGGCGTTAATTGATAGTGGATCAGAAATATGCTGCATCAGTGAAGAGATCAGCTACCAGTTAAAATTACAGCCGGTAGACACTATAGCAATAAAGGGAATTGGACAACATTTCGACCATACGAAAGGTGTATGGATTCAGATCAAACCTACTTGTAAGGATAAGACACAAACAAATATTGCGCCAGTAGTGAAGATATATTGCGCAATTGTTCCCAAACTTTGTGAAGGGCTATTATTAACTCCAAGTGTCGTTGACTTGATCGAGGAGATGAAATTCTATGACGTCCCGATTCCACAAACAAACCTGTCAGAAATTGATGAATCAATGAAGCTGCAAAAGATGCAGGATTCGGCAAGTAAGAGAAACGAATTAACCTGCGATAACCCGGTGGTTGACAAAACCGAACAAGTAAATCCAGTGACCGTCGAAGTCAAACTAGTTGAAAGGGAAATAGGGAAGTCGGTAAATGAAGCAAAAGTGAAGAGACAAGATCCGACGTCTGACGTAGAAGAATCAACCGACGAAGACCAGGAAGTTGACAAACCCGATTTAGAAGAGACGGGAAGTAGGGATAGCGCGGTTGCTGAAAAATCAACACTCCTTGAAGAACAACTAGCGTGTGAATCATTAAAAAGGTGTTGGGAATACGCTAAAACCGGAAAACACAACTTCTTCATAGAAGAGGGTCTGTTGTATCATCGTGAAGAAATATTAGGACATAAGGTAAAACAATTGTGTCTCCCTATTTCGAGAATCCAAACCATATTACATCTGGGACACGATGCCCCATTTGCAGGGCATATGGCGTATAAGACAACGCGTTATCGTATCGGATTAATTTCTGGTTTCCAGATATGACAGAAAAGGTACGACAGTACTGTAAAACGTGTGTGATTTGTCAACTCCGAGCACCAATTAAAAGAGATCAACAAGTTCCCATCACACCGATACCTCGAAACGACGAATTACCATTCAGTCATTTGGTTATAGATTGCATTGGACCGATGATCACGGAAATAGGACCTAAACCGGAATATAATTACGCTTTGGTAGCAGTTGACTTATTCACGCGTTGGCCCATGGCCTACCCTCTCAGATCGTTGAGTGCGAAGGCCACTTGTGAAGTTTTATTACAGATATTCATGACACACTCCATTACAAAAATAATCAGCTCTGACTGCGGAACAAACTTCACGAGTCAACTCACAAAGGAGATGTTGAAACGGTTGGGGTGCTGTCCTAGATTTAACACACCCGAACATCCAGAAGCTTCGGGCGTTGTTGAAAGATGTAACAGAACCCTGAAGACGATGATATACAAGGTTGCCAAAGATCATCCACGTAGTTGGCACAAAGTATTACCATTTGTACTTTGGTGCTTGAGAGAACGACCTTCTGCCACGACCCATATAAGTCCATTTACATTATTGTATGGAACGTTGCCGAGAGGCCCGTTAACAGTGATGAAAGAAAACTGGACAGGTGAACGAGAATTTCCTTTAAATGTTGGCCGAGGATCAGAATATCTCCAAAATCTTAAAAACAATCTGGAATTGGCGAAGAATTATGCAGCATACTATTCAGAGAAGGAACAGCAGCGTTACACACGTAATTACAATCTTCGCACGAAAGACAAACATTTCAAAGTTGGCGACTCGGTCATTATGCTCGCACCCTTGAAGATGAAAAGCAAATGGTATAACCAATGGCAAGGACCGGCGTCTATTGCGAAAGTGAAGTCACCTTATTCGTACCTAGTTGAGTTGGAAGGAAAGAAATATCATGTGCATGCCAATAAACTTCATGGATTCCATAAAAGAATTGAAGAGGCCATGATCAATACCTGTGTTATTCTTCGAGAGAATGATTCAGATTTTGGCGTATTAGATACGTATGAAAAAAAACAGAAAGAAAACAAACAAAAAATCAACGAGGAGGAGATACACATTAGTGACCTAGAAAAACAAGAAAGTCGAGAATTGATTGACTTGATTAAAGAATTCTCAGCCGTATTCTCCACGAAAATAGGACTTTTTAAAGGAACGCAACATCGTATTGAAGTTAATGAAGGATTTAAACCCAAACGTTTAAAAGCCTACAAAATTCCCGAGTTACTCATGGGGGAAGTAAAGCGTCAGCTCAAAGAGATGTTGGAACAAGATATCATTGTACCTTCGAACAGTGAGATGGTTAGCCCAGTGGTATGCGTGTTAAAAAATAACGGAGGCGTACGTTTGGCAGTGGATTATCGTTACGTTAACAAACATTCAACAAACGATGGATTTCCAATTCCAGATGTAAAGGACGTACTACAAAAGGTGGGCAACGCCAACTTCATCAGTTGTTTTGATGCACGATCTGGATAT